AGCATGTTCGATAGGAGTGAATGGAGACGAATGGTATTTGGGACCTGACGATCTGTTGGAGGTTGAGCAGGGTAATACTTAGTGAAGGGATTCAGGGAAACCAGTTATTTTATATAACCGCATTCGAGTCCTGGAAATGGAAAGTACACTGCCTGCACTCTAAAGGAGGGGTTTGGGATATTGGCAGTTTGGAGGGATATATTGTGTATTTTTATACGTATATACTTCTAAACTGTTGTATTCTGGGCACCTCTGCAAAAACAGTGATTATGTGTGAGGTGAAAGTGTTGAGTGATGATGAAAGTATTTTCTTTTTGGGGATTTTCTTTCTTTTTGGGTCACCCTGCCTCGGTGGGAGACGGCCGACTTGTTGGGAGAAAAAAAAAATGTACAAGGTATACAGGCCTAGCTGACATCAATGACATACTATTATATAGAAAGCCGCTTGTTATACTGAGCATTTCGGGCAAATTAGGTCAGTTTTGTCCCAGGATGCGACCCACACCAGTCGACTAACACCCAGGTACCCATTTTAAACTGATGGGTGAACAGGAACAGGGGCAGCAGGTGTCTTATGGAAACACGTCCCTAATGTTTTCCAGCCATACTGGAGGAGATTCGAACCCCAGAACCTCAGTGTGTGAGCCGAGTGCACTAGTGAAATTCTGCTATATTGCTATTCAGCATTGTACAGTGGACCCTCACCTAACGATATTAATTGGTACCCGAGAACGAATATCGTTAGGCGAGTTTTTTAGCGTTAGCCGAGGCAAAAATGTTAGCGTTAAAATGTATCGTCAGGCGAATTTAACGTTATGCGAAGCATTCGTTAGCCCAGGGTCTACTGTACATGCATTATATTACATGTTGAACGTATTGTCATTATCAGTATAATAATGTAATTTTGTTGCTATGCTGTTATATGTAGTATACTTGGTAAACAGTATGACTCCAAATCATTTAACTTATTTAGCTAGAGAAAAGAAAAAAATGTGTCTTGTAATAAGATTTGAAAGTTTAATTTCATCCGAGACAATGACTGCAAAGTACTTCCAAGGATAATTTTGTATCAGTATTTTTGCTATTCTGAAAGGAAATTATTATAATCATGGGGTGTGCTAAACCTGTAGGGATTACACAGCACCTGTGGGGAAGGGGGAATGGAAGGCATTCAGACTCAATTCAGGGAACTGGCACACAGATCCAATTCCCTAGAACAAGGACACCTCATCAGCATCAAGGAACCTCCCTTTAGGGGTCTGACAGGAAAGCGACTGCCCGTAAAGGTCACACACATAGGGAATGGGAGATAATCAGGTTTGATGCCAGGAAGAGGAATGCTAGCTCTAATTCTGTGGATCGAGAATCCTTTGCCAAAATGTTTTGCGCAAGTATGGACTTTTCCAGGTAAGAATTTAATCATTAACAGCCTAGTTTCGTAACTACAGTCTCTATAATGTATCTTATGAGAAATAATTTTTTATTAATTTTTACAACAGCCTTCTCTTCTACCAAGGCAGGGTTACCCAAACAAGAAAACACACAAAACATTATTCATTCAATCACTATCCAAAGTGTGTTGACATCAATTCAGATAACCCTCCAATTGTAATATCCCCACTACTTCAGAATGCAGATACTGTACTACCCTTTCCACCTCCAGGACTCAAGTCCAGTTAACTGGTTTCCCTGAATCCCCCCATAAATGCTACCTTTCTCACCTTCTTACAATATGTAGTACATTAAAAAAAAACAAATTGTCTCCATTCACCTGTATCTAACATGCTCACACAAGCCTGCTGGATGTTCAAGCCCTCTTTTACTACCCCTTCCCTCTAATTATTCCTAGGACAACCCTTACCCTCCACACTAGATTTATTCACTGTCTTTGTCATCCAGTCTGTCTATCCTCTGTATATGCCCAAACAACCCTTACTCAGAGTTATGAAATACACCCTTGGTAACCCCACATTGCCTTTTAATTTCTTTGCTCCAAATTCTCTACACGATATTCACAACAGGCATTACCCCCCTCGTCCTTTTAAAGTCATGAATTACATATGCCTCTACTCCAGGGGAAGTGCCAAAATTTCTGTACTAAGGAAGGTTCAAAGGTGACCATTTTGTTGGAAGGAGGGTTAGGAGACTTGTGAAGCAGCAGTATTATTATAACTATTTTATTTGGGGGCTGAGGAAATTTCAGGGGCTGATACCCCCTAATCCTCCCATGGCACCACTACTGCTCTACTCATTGTTTTCAAAGTGATGCAACAATCTGTGAACAGGGAAATTTGAATTTTTAACTAAAATCAGGAAAACACATATCACTATTGAATACAAATACAGTTGACCATCACTAATCCAGCATCAATGGTACCTGCAGCGTGCCGGATTAGTGATTCTGCCGGATTACAGAGTGGTTAGGTTAGAATACACTAAGCCAATGGCGATGTTTACGCATTGGCGATTTCACCCATTTTATGCCCTATTTTTGACCCATTCCACTGTTCTAGTCTACCAAACTCATGACTATTTCGCTAGTATTCCTTCTATTCTGTCGACCGAGTACAAGAAATCACCCATTTACTTATTTCAACTACCCAATAAAGTGGTCAAAAATTGGCAATTTGTCCAGTCTCTCACAAATTTTGAGATGCCAATTTCAAAACAGGGTCTAGAATAAATAATGCAGACATTCCTGGCACTAAAATAACATTTTCTCTGTTTATTAGTCATGTCTCCAGGCCCCTCTTATATTACACTTGCTTTCCATTTTGAATTTTTATTCACACAATAATAGAAGATTTACTGTTACACAGACTACTGCATTATTGTAATAATTCTATAAATAATATCAACCTATTTGTGACTGCATATCAGACCAGCCAGTTGGACACATATTGGAAGGTGACGTCACTCGTTTACTCTTGAACACCAGCAAAACTGAACGTTTCCACTAATTTGAGCTCAATTTCAAGGTATTTTCCATCGTGAAAACAATCAAAATCACATCTATTTCTGTAACATATCTTCCAATCTATCAAATGAGACAAAAAAAAAAGAGAATACAACCATAAAAACCATACAAAAATACACTGCAGTCACAATTTTACACCAAAAACATGGTCTCATTTTTTTTCTCATTATGCACTGATGTAATCAGGATTTTTTATATAGTACACACTTAACACACAGACCTAGTCTCTCACATGTAGGCCCAAATTTACCAATCACAGCTTATCTGAGTGAGCTGAGCTCATGGCGACTGACAGTGGCTTCAAAGCCACCTTATCTTTTATGGACAATGCACGGTGTATGTGCTTTACACAACAGGAAGCATTTTTTTTTATTCGTTGGAACCATGGGTATGGCTAGAAGTGAGCAGGTTATAACAATAAATGGAGAAAAAGAAATTGTAATGACTTATGCAGTAAGTAGTGCCACCAAACAGTAGCAGCAAGTTGGTGTGGTGACCCCAGAAATTTGAAATTATGCTAGCCAAAATTCATGCCGCATTACTGATGGAACCAGATTACTGATTGCCGACCTGTATAAGCTTCTGAAAATAATGGAGACAGGCACAAACTTAGCTTGTATTGTGACAATGTCTGCTGTAAGCAGCAACAAAGTTCCACATACAAGTAAAACACTGATAATGAAAGCTTGTGTCTTTCCATAACTGATGCAGTATGTCTATACTTAATATGCATGATGCAAAAATAAATAATCTTTTGTAAGAGAAACTTGTGTAATCATTCAGACCAAAATAAACCATTAGGAAAATAAATAAGATTAAATAAAAAAAATTTTTAGTATACCATCATAATTTTATTTAGGTACAGGTACACATAAGTACAATAATCAAAGTGGCCTATTTCCAATGGGGTCCTTGTAATATCTTAGACAAAAACCTTAGTGATACAAAATATGTATTATGTAACACTGACAATTCATTAAAAATAATAAGCTACCATACCACTTTTATTTGCATTTACTGAATACTATGGGGAAGCACTATACCCACAGGGGCAATACGGCACCAGGGGAATGGGAAGTAATTAGGTTTGCTACTATTGTACCAAAAAATCCAAATTAACAGAATTCTAAATAAGTTTATTTAGGTACAGGTACACACAAGTACAATTATCATACATAGTAATGTGTGTAAATTACCTATTATAACCCAATAAAGTCAAAGTGACTCATCTCCATTAGGGTCCTTTTAATATATATTTTATGATGGCTGCAACAAAACAAGTTATAAAATGATGTTTATTGTACTGATCAGAAAATTGAGGAGGAGCATGACGGCAGAGATTTTAATACAAGTTAACCACCCTTATCTTGTCTAGATTTAAGTAATTATTATATACTAGGATTAGTCTGCCCAAAATGCCCCAGCATGACTGTGGCTTTCTTTGTACTTAGCAAACCAAAATTGTAATTACACATTGTAACCCTTACAAAGATATATCTATCTTTATAGTGACTATCCTATATTAATTAAAAATTACTTGTAAAAAAAAAAACATGGGTCTAAGGCTGGTAAGTCTATTTAGGCACAGGTAAGTTTATTCAGAAATAGGTCCACAAATACAGTTACATAAATAATCATACATAACAACATGTGTGTAATTACCTAGGATAACCCAAAAAAGTCACAGTGACTTATTTCAGTTGGTAAAGGTACAAGGTTTATACGAGGCCAAAATATTCTACTACACGAATATAACCAGGCCAAAAATATTTATTCCATGCGAATAATCATGATAAACCCGACGTAAAGAATATGAAATACAAGCAATAATAGATTAACCATCAGTAAACAAAATTATGCCAAACTGAGCCACACTTTAATGAAGGTTGAATAAGCCAATTTACCCTCGCCTAGGCCTCCAAACCCACATAATATACCACCAAAACCCAGATGGGCGCGGCCATAGGCTCGAGGAGTATGTGATGGTCCAGGACCCAATATAGGTACATCCTAACAGGCTTACCCATAGCTTAATCCATGGGGGGTGGGGGGAGGTGGGTTTAAAGCCTATCGACTACGCGAGGGTAGTGAAGGCCTGCATCTAGGCCTCCTCATCCCCAGAGATCACTTTAATCCCCATTTTAGGGCTTAAAAGTGAACCTCTCGGAGCATATAGACCGAGAGGCATACACTCCTCAGTGTACAGGTCCTCACCTATGGCCAAAATTGTTGTATTTCCAGTCGCCGGTCAGCCAGTGATGAGTCTGACATCTGGTGATGGAAGGATAAACCTCTAACAGTAAAGATTTCTCCTCGAAGGGACATTTATTCTTTTTGGGGGCCTCATTAAGGGTGTTTCTGACATTAATCTGGGAGTCGTTTTAGTGGTTTGCTGATAAATTCAGGCACTGGGATATTTACAATGTTGTTTAATAAGAAATCTTTTTATCCTCGGGGTTACAATATGTAGAGAGAAATAATTACTACATTCACGTGACTGCGCTAAACCTGTAAGGATCAGTAAGTTTATTTGGGTATAGACAGTTACATTGGTTATCGTACATAGCAGCATATGTATATAGAACCTAAGATAACCCCAAAAAAGTCAGGGTGACTTATTTCTGTTGGGATCCTTTTGATAATTATATATACTTAAAAGTTAAAAAAGGTATCTTTACTGTGTAAAAGCAGCTATGATAAAGAACATATACAAGGGTCATACAGCACTTTGGGGAATAGGAGGCATTAAGGGAGGACGATCCAAGGAAAGGGGAGCACAATTCTAATTTCTTAGATCAGAAGCCACTCACTGGAACAGAGGTAGTTCAGTTCCATAGTCAGGAACAATCTGAAGATCAAGCGACAGTGCAGAGTAGTAGTAGTAGTGAGAATGTAGCCACAGAGAGGTCATGTCCCTCTCAGATCCAACACTTCTCACTTGAAAAGATAGTTCCTGACTATGGAACTGAACTTCTCCAAGCTGAGGGACTGACAACCTCAAATTCTACGACTTCAAGGGTGATGGACTGATTACATCGTCTTCACATCTCTACTGTTCCTGCCTACTTTCTGTATTCGACTGAAGAAGCCTACTGTGTAGGCGAAACGTTTAGGAATCAAGTTGTCTAACTGTTGCATATGTTCTTACCTAACAACCTGTCGGTATTGTATACCATTTTGATGTTCATTGTTGCTTGTTGTTGAGACGGATAATGTTTTATACAGTCCTATGCTTCATCATTGTAGTTTTAGTATCAATTGCATGAAGTGCAAAAGTGCATTGTTAATATACAGGGTCACTACAACACTTTTTTTTATAAATGCGAGCTTTATTTAAAATATTGTATTCAGACAAAGCAATTTCTTGTGCTTAATAACTATATTTAAACCAAGTTAATTCGTCTTATTCTTGAATATCCTATGATGATTTGCGTGAGTTTTTTTTTTTTTAACTTTTATTACTTCCTGTTGAATGCTGTTATATACAGGAAAAGCACTAAGCTCTCAAGGAGAAGCTAGTATATGTATAGTGCTGTCAAAATATCTTGTGTCATTGCTCAATATCCTGTAAGTGACGTTACATTGACATTAAGACTCATTTTAGCTTGTTACATCCTATTGCGATAACACTGCTGAACCTTTAGTATAGATACAACTCTGACACAGAATTCTTAAAAAAAAAAAATCGCATTTTTGTTACAATTGTGTCTAAATTTATATTATATTCCATATGGGTCAACAAAACCAGTCTTATTTGAAATACGACGAATACATCGGGCCTAGATCTTGTAAATTATTGTTAATAAGCTGCTTAGTTTAATCCACACCAATGACTTACCTCCCTAAATCCTGCTCTACTTCCTCGGATCAATAGCCCATCACCAAAATCAAGGTACCGTCTTCAAATGAGCGATCTTTCTGCTTTAGGAACATGTCTCTCTCTCTCTCTCTCTCTCTCTCTCTCTCTCTCTCTCTCTCTCTCTCTCTCTCTCTCTCTCTCTCTCTCTCTCTCTCTCTCCCTCTCCTCTCTCTCTCTTTGTTATCATATCAAATCGCTTTATTATTTTCTTTATTAATAATGAATAAACATTATTTCTTTGTGCAGTATACAACATGTAGTTTATATATAATAAAATATTGTTAAGCACAAAGGAAAGTCACTAACATGCATGTGCATTTCGAGTGTTTTGAGGAAAGGGAAAATAATCCAATTCCATGGATCAAGAGACCTTCACCAGCATCAAGGCCCCTTACTGAACTCAATCAATTCGCAGCTTCAAGAATTTACATCCTCAAGAGGCTCTCTGCCCATCATGTTCTGGAAAATAATGCTGTCAGAATTATTTATATTTGCTTGTTAGATAAATGCAATAAGTTTTAATGTTCACAGGACCTGCTTGGATATTGTGAACATCTGAACTTTAGGTTATGTTTGATTTCTCCATAAAATGTGATTAGGATCTCATTTTTTTTTTTACACAGGGTTTGACAAGGTTAAGGATCCCTAGTTTTATTGACAAGCTATTTACCTTTATCTTTATTTTCTTAGTCTCTCCTTATGCAACTTTCCTTAGCATGATGGAATGATGATAAATGGACTGCCTTGTGTCAATCTTCCTGAGTCTTAAGTCAATAAAATTCAGTTGAACTTGTTTTCGTATTAATGTTCTCTGTCTGTGTGTATGTGTGCACTTGTGTGTGTGTTTGCATGTGTATTTGTGTACTCATGTGTGAGTGCTTATACTCGTGTGTGTATGTATGCACGTGTGTGTGTGTGTGTGTGTGTGTGCGTGTACTCACCTATTTGTGTGTATGTGTGTGTGTGACTCAACAATTAATATTTGCACCAATAACTCATTACAGTTGTGACCAGGTGTGGACGTGTGAATTGCTCATTACTCTATAATTTGTTCATGACTGTAGCCATGTATAAACGTAAGTAAGTAAATTTACTTACAGGATTCTTTACCTTTGTAATTTGTGAATTCATTACATTTGTACCTAGTTCATCTATCAAAACTTTGGGGGCCCAGTCCCTGGACCCATTATGTACCTCTGTAATCTTTGACTTCCACCCACAGGATGGGTATGGGGCGCATAATAAACATTAAACTAACACTATGGAACTAATATCTTCTTATTTTCTATAAATTCATCGGTTTCTTGACATGCTTTATGAGACGTGAGTTTCATGCTGGTGTTGCATACTCTAAGATATCTGGGCCAGATATAAATTGTATATAGTATCGGTCGTTGCTCTTTGTTTAGATTTCTGAAAGCAAATCTTACATTGCGTTACACGAGAGTTCGCTGGCGATAACTTCGGTATTAAGGTCAATCCTTTGCACTTCGTATTTCAAGTGCAGTGGTTAGCACTTTCAGTTCATCACCGAAAGAACATGAGGTCCAGAGCGAGTCAGGACTAATGAGAGTCTTCTAACTCCTGCTGACCATGTGACATGGACATAAATGTATATCTGGGAGTGTCTACTGCTGTGGGTGGCATCTTAGGGAAGGACATAAAATGGGCCCTAATAAGCAGCATTGATTTTCAATCTTTGGTTGCTATCCTCCGGACAAGTTAGTTAGTTACCATTTTGTCCTAGGCACATGTCGATTAGATACTAGGCCCGTTGTGTGTGTGTGTGTACACACACTTAACGTATGAGCAGAAATTCTCTCCTGGGGGGCGAAACGTTGCCTTACTAAAATCTATCAGTGGTTGAAGTGTGCTGGTTAAACTCTGGCGTAACTAACAAGTGGTAAAGATACAGCTCGATTACTTGCCCACTCATCTCTCACACTGAGATCTGGGGGGGGTCGATCCCCGGTATGAGTGGAAACATTAGGACGATTTCCTTAAGGCACCTGCTGTCGATGTTCACCTGCCAGTAAGATAGGTCAATAGGTGTTAGTCGACCGGCGTGGGTCGCATCCTGAGGACAAAATTGACTTAATTTGCCCGAAATGCTCTGCATAACAAGGGGCTTTCTATATGGTAGTATGTCATTGATGTCAGTTAGGCCTGTATACCTTGTACATGTACTTGTAGAAATAAAGATATTATTTATTGGGTGTCCTTTTCCTATATACGTTTTTTTTTTTAACTTCTGTCCACCAAAAAAATTAATCCCCCCAAAATCTCTCTTTTCTTCTTGACTCAGGGATGCAGTCTTTGTCCTCTTCCCTAATTTGTATCCAATTTGTTGTTGCGCCTGAGCTCCTAGTTTACTGTGCACCTCATGCCAATCCTGTGAAAGTTAGAGCAAAAGAAACACGACCACAGAGGTTGCAGTGAGTCATTATCACAACCCACTAGGAACTGTTGCATTACAAAAATAAAAAGTATTAATCATTTCACGTATTACAATTGCTCCAAATAGCTAATGTTCGCAGTCCCCCGTTCATCAGCTTTCATTTCAGTTCCTTGCATTTGCTGGGGTTGAAATCCGGTGCCAACCTGCATGACCAACCCTACAGTTTGTCCAGGTCTTGCTACAGCCTTACTGTCTGCATCTGTATTATCTTCATTACTCTCTAATAACCCATCGTTCACATACTTCAGAAATGGTACCTGCATTAGTACCTATTCTTTTATTCAGTTCAATTCAAGTTTATTCTCTATAAGGATTACAATGCGGGGTTTACAGATTTTGAATATTGTGTGATAAGATAAGATAAGATAAGATAAGATTTCGTTCGGATTTTTAACCCCGGAGGGTTAGCCACCCAGGATAACCCAAGAAAGTCAGTGCGTCATCGAGGACTGTCTAACTTATTTCCATTGGGATCCTTAATCTTGTCCCCCAGGATGCGACCCACACTAGTCGACTAACACCCAGGTACCTATTTGCTGCTAGGTGAACAGGACAACAGGTGTAAGGAAACGTGTCGAAATGTTTCCACCCGCCGGGAATCGAACCCGGGTCCTCCGTGTGTGAAGCGGTTTACATGTTTTAAAATACTAATTATAGAGGGGGCCACTAGGACACCTAGCATGGCTAGGCATTTCGGGGAGACTTAGATTAATTCTAAACTTTAAATTATTACAGATTATGGTATTAAGGCTAAGTGACTACATTATAGTTTGTGAGTTTAGCAATGTGAATGCTTTTTTTTTTTGGCACAATACATAGTGTCTATATTGGAGTATCATAGGCAAACTTATGACTAGTTAGGATTCATTATTTTAAGATTAAGATTCGT